CATGCCTGTAATGCCCAGCACTTTGAGAGGCTCTAAGGTGGCTGAGATCACTTGAGCAACAATTTGAGACAACCAGCCTGGCAACCTGATCGAAAACCCCATACCATCTATGAAGAAGTCCGCAGCATTAAAGGGAGGACCCAGCCAGGCCGGCTCACAGGTCCGAGGAGATGGAGACCATCCTGGTTAAACGCCCCTGACTCCAGCCTCTGGGGGCTATACAACGTCTCAAAAAAATTATTTATATTATCAATTTATTTATTATTATTCGATTTTATTATTTTTTATGAGACGGAAGTCTCACTGTGTCTCCAGGCTGGAGGTGCAGTGGCTGTGATCTCGGCTCACTCGCAAAGCATCCACACATCCCGGGTTCACGCCATTCTCTGTCATGAGTCCGTCAGCCTCGCCAAGGTATGAGACTAAAGGCGCCCCCCCACCGCCTGGCTAAGTTTTTTGTATATTTTTTTATAGCAGACGAGACGGGGTTTCACCATGTTAGCCAGGATAGTCTCGATCTCCTGACCTCGTGATCCACCCGCCTCGGCCTCCCAAAGTGCTGGGATTACAGTCTTGAGCCACCGCGCCCGGCCATTTTTATTTTATTGAAATACAATTCACATACCTAAGATTCGCCCTTTTCAAACAGAGTCCGGTAGGTTTTAGTATATTCACAAGGCTGCAGCAAGCGTCACCACTATCTAATTCCAGAACATTCTCATCACCCCAAAAAGAAACCTGGTAGCCATCAGCAGTCACTTCTCATTCCCCCTCTGGCAACCCCTGGCAACCATTAATCTACTTTCTGTCTATGGATTTGCCAACTCTGAATATTTCATATGAATGGAAGCATACAATAAGTGATCTTTTGCGTCTGACTTCTTTTGCTAAACATGCTGTTTTCAAGGTTCATCCACTTTGCAGCCTCCCTCTCAGTAAGCCTCAGTCCCTGAGCATCTGGGAAATCGGGGGGGACGCTGTTGGGAAAGGGAGGGCAGGGGTGGACCCTGGTGTGTGTGGGGCGCGTGTAGGGAGGTGATCGGCTGCCCCCGTGTGGTGCATGGTAGAACTGCAGCTCTCAGCGCCAATGCAGGCAAGGGGTTGGCGGCGCTCAGCCCCTCTAGCCCACCCCCAAGACCCCCACTTTCACCCTGCAGCGTCCTTGGGATCACAATACTTCTAGAACACTACCCTGGAACTCCTCCCTCTCTGCCACTGTCCCTGAGACTCCTCGGGCCATATTTGCCAAATAGTAATAATAATGTTCCCACATACGAATTTTGAATCTGGTCCCCTGTGAAGCACTTTACTCACAGATTCTCATTGATTTGTTAGTAGTAACAAATTAAAATAACAAATAAATATAAACAAATTGACAAATAAAAATAGTAGCAGCCTGAGGTTGCTGCTATTATTATTTGGAGACAGGAAACCACAGTGGTTGAGAGAGGGTCCAAGTTTGGGAACTTGGGAGCACTTGAATTCAAATCGTAGCCCTGCCACTAATTTGCTGTGTGACCTTCAACGTGCGACATTTCTCCCTTCCTTGGGTCTCTGCTTCCTCATCTGTAAATGGGATTGATAAAGATGCTCCCTATCTCCTGGGGTGGCAGAAAGGAGAAAGTGCTCAGAGCCTGGCACAAGCGCAGCTGCCATGAGTCTGTGTTGTTCATTGTATGAAGCAGTGCTGTGCTGCTGACTGTTTCACAACCAGCTTTTGGCTGAGTGCAGGGTAATCCCAGCACTCAGACCGAAGCGGGAGGATTGCTTGAGCCTGAGAGCTGGGGATCAGCCTGGGCAATACGGCTACAAAAAATTAGCTGGGCGTGATGATGATGCACACCTGTAGTCCCAGCGACTCAGTGGGGCTGAGCTGGGAGGATTGCTTGAGCCCGGGAGGTCCAGGCTGCAGTGAGCCATAATCGCACCTCTGCACTCTAGCCTGGGTGATGCAGTGAGACCCTGTCTCAAAAACAGAACATAGCAGAGCAAAACAAAACACCCCCAGCTCTCTGCAGGTGGGGGTGGGGAGTCTTAATTTGTAGCATTTGCCAATTTCCATGGTGTAAATACTCCCACCATGGCTAATTTCAAGCTACCAAGGTGATGTCACAAGGCATTTTTGCCCCCCATTATATAGTACTTTTACTGTGCAGCTACAATAGACGTAAGTAACCTCAAGATCACAGATAATGGCAAATGTAGTAAGATAATTAGGACGTGATGAGTATGTATTACCTGGACTTTTAATATAATTTAATTGTATGTTTGCATAATTTAATTTTTAATAATGGCTGTGTTTAACAACCAGTTCCAAAATTCCTGAGACATAACAATCAGCTTGCTCCAGCCAGATCCAGCACACTGCTGTTTTAGAAGGGGAAACTGAGGGTCAGGAAAGTGGCCCTCAGATAGACGAAGGCAGGGCACAGACCCCTTCCCAAAACCGTGTGACTCCCAGGCCAAGACTATGTAATGCCCGTTTTTCTTGTGGATGGTCCCCACAGCGCTGTGTGGCCTCCGAGAGGCCTTTGTCCTCTCTGGTCTCAGTCTGCCCGCATGGGGAGTGGCCGTGCCCTGCAGGCGAATGCCTGCACAGGGTTCCTTCGCACCTGCCAGTGAGCAACACACGGATTCTTCCTCTCACTTTACAAACTGGGAAAGTGAAGCCCAGAAAGGGCAAGTACTTGCCCTGGGTCATACAGGTGGACAGAGATGGTCCCCAGCTGGGGTGCAGAGGAGAGGATACTGCAGCCCCAACCTGGGGGTCTGGAGCTTTGTGGGTTGGTGGAGGCGGCCTGACTAGGGAGGTCGCTGAGCCCTCAGCATTGGCCAAGCCCTGCACACCATCCCCTTGACCCACCCCACCCTTAGGCCTCCGAGGGAAGAGCTTCCCCTGCCCCCCCGCCAACTGGGGAGAGAATGGACCGGGGGGAGGGACAATGTGGGCAGTGCCTCTGGGGGCTTCTCTGGCTCAGTCCCTTTATCTCCATCTCTTCACAGATCTCTGCGTCTTTGTATCTCTTTGTCTCTCCCTGTGTGTGTGTGTGGGGGGTCTCTCTTAGTCTTTGTCCCTCTGCGTCTCTGGGTCTCTCTGTCTCCGTGTCCCTGTGTCTCTCCCTCTCTGTCCTGTGGCTCTCCGTTCATCTCCTTGCGCCTCTCTCTCCACCCTTTTGTAACTCGTCTCTCTCTCTTTGTGTCTCTTTATCTCTACGCCTCTCGATCTCTCTCTCTGCGTCTCTGGCGCTCTGCCCCGGTCTCCCTCTCCCCTTCTCTCCTCTCCAGTGCGCCTCTTCTTCTGGGCGAGAACACGCTCCCCGCCGGCGCGCCCAGACCCGCCTCCGCCCCCGGCGCCCCGGACCAGCCCGGGCCTGCGCCTTTAAGGGCCGGCGGCGGGGGGCGGGGTCCCGGTGCCCCGCCCTGCCCGCCCCTCCCCCTGACGTCCCTTCCTCCCTCCCCAGCCCCTCCACCGCCTCCCTCTGCCGCCGCCTGGGCCGGCTCCGCGCCCCCTCCGCGGCCCCCGCCCGCCCGCCTGCCCGCCGCCCCCATGGCGCCCGGGGTCCCCGCTGCACAGGGCCACTAGGACCCTCGGGGTCCCTTCCCCTCCCCCGCCCTGTCCTCTCTCCCGCGGCGCGGACCCGGGCGTTCTCGGCGCCCAGCTTTTGAGCTCGCGTCCCCAGGCCGGCAGGGGGGGGAGGGGAAGAGAGGGGACCCTGGGACCCCCGCCCCCCCCACCCGGCCACCCCTGCCCCCCGGGACCCGGAGAAGATGTCTTCGCGGACGGTGCTGGCCCCGGGCAACGATCGGAACTCGGACACGGTGAGTGGGGCCCGGCCCCTTGGGGAGCCCTGGCTGGGTCCAGCCGCCAAACCCTTCGCCCCGCTGTGCCCCTCGCCCCGCGAGCCCCTACCCTCGTTTCCTGGGCTCGACCCAGCTCGTCACCTCTCGACCCCTCCCGGACTTCCAGGCCTCTCGGCCCTCCCCACCTTTTCCAGCCCAGCCCGACCCCTGGGGGCGCCCCTCTCTCGGGACCCCTCTCTTGTCCCCGTGCAGACCGCTTCCGCTCGGGTCTGTTCCCTCCAGGAAGCCCCCTCCCCTGCTTCCAGGAGCCCCTCCCTTCCCTCGCGCGTGCTAAGCCCTTTCCCCTCCAGGCTGTCCGCGTCCGACACCTCGCCCCCTCCCGGATTTGCAGGGCCCCTGACCCCCCAAGGCCCGGCCCTGGCTCTCCCAGCAGGGCCTGGCCCAGTCCTGCCTCTGGCTCCGGCCTTCCCTATCTGGGGCTTGGTGCCGGCTCTCCAGGAGCCCCTCTCCTCTCATTCCCAGTCCTCTGCCCCTCCAGGACGCACCCGGGGCGCCTGTGGGCAGCCCCTGGCAGGAAGCTGGTTTCCACCTCTCCTGGGCCCCGGCCCTTTTCTGCCGCCTTCAAGGTCTCTCCTGTCCCAGGCCTGGTCCCCATCTTCCAAGCAGCCCTGTCCCTAGATCCCAGCACTCCGGGGCCCCCAGAAGCCACCTGGACCCTTTCTGGTCTCTTCCTCTCCCAGGAAGCCTTGGCCTCCAACTTCCAGGCCCCCACCTCACCCAGGCTCGTATTTCTAGGCCCTGGACCAGTCTGACTCCAGGCCTCATCCGCCCTCTATCAACTTCTCAGCTTCAGGCAAGCCCCTTCCCCAACCCCCAACCTCTCCACCCATGCTAGGCCAAACTTAGGCCCCTTCCCCACAAACCACCGTCCTTTCTCCTGCCCCAGGGCCTCCCCCTTCCTTGCTGGGGGTCTGGCCTCCCAAGGAAGCCCCCTCCTCAGCTTCAGAGGCCTTCCTCAGCTACAGGGCCTGGCCCCAGATCCTTCTTCCAGAAAACTCCCGGACCTGAAGCCCCTCATCTTGCCCTGGCTTCAAGCGCTTTTCCCTTGGGGTCAATCTGTTGGAAGCCTTCTCCCCAAATTTCTAGACCCTTTGACCTCCCCCAGGGCTCAGCCTTTATTCGTCTGTGCTGCTCCTTGCCCAAGAAACCCCTACCCCATACTTCCAGGTCCCCCAGACCCTTCTCTAGTTTCAAGGACTGCTCCTAGAAACCCCCTTCTCTGATTCCTAGGAGCTTCCCAAGATCCAGGGATTCCTGGCCTCTGACTTCCACTGCCCCAATGGCTTTGTCACTTTCCACCATTCCCAGGCGCCCCCTGCCTCTACACTGTTTCCCAGAGAGTCCCAGGGAGGCCCCTCCCCATCTCCTGTGTCTCTGATCACTCTGATCACTTCCAAAGACCTGCCCACCACCCAATCCTAGACGTCTCCCCAGCTGGGATCTTTGTGTCTTTCTCCAAATCTTTCTGCCAGGTCCCTGTTCCCCTTCCCCCTGTTTCCCTCACCTCTGACAGACCGCCCCCCCATGCACACACACCATCAGAGATTTGTATCTGTCCCTTCCTCATCTTGCAGATCCCTCCCTCACAGAGACCACCCCTATCATCACTACGGGCCAGAACTCCAATTTGGAGTCTAATGAAATGCCTACCACCTCTGTTCCTTGGTCACTGCAATCTACAGTGAGGTGCCAGGGGCTCCACAGTCCTGGGTTCCAATGCTGGCATGGCCAGCTGGTTTGCCTTGTGTCCTCAGAAAACCAGTTCTCCCTTTCTGAGCCTCAGTTTCCTGCCCTGGAAAATAGGGGTGACCGCTTGAGTGCCTCCTTGGCTTACTCGATTCAGGCAAAGCCTGGCACCTAGGAAGCACTCCACAAATGCCAGCTGCTATTGTGGCTGTGGGTATGAGTCAGACAGCCCGTGGATTCTCAGCTCAGGGCTGTTATTAGTTGTTGAGTGAGGCTGCAGATTCACTCCCAGCTTGCAGCCTCAGTTTCCTTATCTCTAAATCGGGTTGCTGATGGCCCTCCGCTGTTAGGGATGTTTGCAGGAGCCAATGACGTGATGTGACTAAGGTGCACAGGGCCTGGCATGTGTCGTGGCTGTTGTGGTTATTAGTACTAGTTTAATTGTTCAGATAAACTTGGGTTCATATCCTGTTTCTGTCCCTCCCTAGCTGTGTGACCTCGGGCAAGTAACCTCACCTCTCTGAGCCTTGGTTTCCTTGTCTCTTAAGTGGAACGCCTGATGACGACTTGCTGTTCCCTGGGTTGTTAAGATGCGTGCATGGTGCGGATTTGAGGATGGCTAATCCCCTTTTCTCTCCTCCAACTCTTGTCACTAAGACCTGCCTGTCAGTCCTGATGGGGAGTCACCTGCCTGCCTCTGGAATAGGAGGTTGCAGCCCCCTCTCCTGTTACCTGGTTACCATGGCTACAGCCACATAGGGTCATGCTACCCCCACCCCAAGTTCCAGGGCCCCCCACCAGGGGGCCAGCCTCCCCAGGTTCCCTAGCAACAGGCCCCGGTGTTGGGTCGCCAGCCGGACGAGAGGGAGCCAGGCCAGCTGGTGGTGCAGGCCAATTTTAGCTCCCACCCCCGGCCCCCAGGGGCTTTGTCACCCACTGCCCCAGCTGCCCCTCGCAGGGGTCCCTCAGCCATGCTGCGTTCAGCGTGGTGACATCCCACCTCCAGCTGGCTGCTGTGGTGCCACCTGACGGGGGTTCTTCTCCAGGTCCTTATCTCGGTGGGGATCGGAGGCCTTGTCTCCAGGATCTCTACCTGCCTCCCTGGTCTCTGCTGGGAGGAAGCCTGGGGCAGTGGGGAAGCCTGGCTCAGCACTCAGGAGGAATCAGCAGGCTGGGGTTCGCATCCCAGCACTCTGCTCCATCTGCCCTGTGACCTTGGGGGAGGGACTCCCCCTGCCTGAGCCTGGGGGTCCCCATCTGGAGACTGCAGATCGTAATTGGACCCACATTGGAGGCCAGGGTGAGGGCACGGCAGGCAGTGGCAGACGCATGGTTAGAGCCCCGGCCGTGGTGGTTGGAACTGCCCAGCCGTGGGGAGATTGTCCTTCTGCCCCTGTGAATGGACTGTGTGACCTTCACATAGCATCTTCCCTCTCCAAGGCTCAGTTTCTCTGCTGGAACATGGAGTCGCTCACTGGGCTACTGCAGGAATCAAGTGTAGGCGAGTTGCCTGTTTACACAGGACTTGCTCCATAGCGTGAGCTGCTTTGTAGAAATGGTTCATGACCCAGCGTGGTAGCTCACACCTATAATCCCAGCACTTTGGGAGACCCAGGCGGGAGGATGGCTTGAGCCTGGGAGCTGAAGACTAGCCTGGGCAACATAGCAAGACTCCATCTCTACAAAAAAATTTGAAAATTGGCTGTGTGTCATGGGGCACTCCTGTGGTCTCAGTTACTTGGGAGCCTGAGGTGGGAGGATCTGCTTGAACCCAGGCAGTTGAGGCTGCATTGAGCCTTGATTGCACCGCTGCACTTCAGCCTGGGCAACAGAGCAAGACCCTGTCTCAAAAAAAAAAAAAAAAAAAAGGTTCCGGTGTGAGAGGCAGTGTGGTGTTGTGACAGAGAAGAGCATCAAGACTGGTGGAAACTACTGGGCATGGTGGCTCACCCCTGTAATCCCAGCACTTTGGGAGGCTGAGGCAGATGGATCACTTGAGGTCAGGAGGTCAAGACCAGCCTGGCCAACATGGTGAAACCCCGTCTTTACTAAAAATACAAAAATTAGCCGGGCGTGGTGGTGGGCACCTGTAATCCCAGCTACTCGGGAGGCTGAGGCAGGAGAATTGCTTGAACCTGGGAGGTGGAGGTTGCAGTGAGTTGAGATCGTGCCGCTGCACTCCAGCCTGGGCAGCAAGAGTGAAGCCCCATCCAAAAAAAAAAAAAAAAAAAAAGACTTGCGGGAACTGTTTGGGTTCAGATCGTGGGTCCGGGCCTCAGTTTCCCCACCTGTAAAGTGGAGATGATAGTGTGGTGATGGCCTCATATTGCATCAATGACCAGCATTAATTAAATGTTAGTTGTTGCTATCAAGTGGCCCAGCAGTGCCTTTCTCAGAGACTTGGGACACCAGCCCATCAGCCTCCTGGACTTTCTTCCTCCCCTCCTGCTGTTCTCCTGCTTCCCACTCCCAGCTAGAAGGGCACAGGCAGAACTGCCTTGGCAGGGGGCCTCAGGCACCCTGAGTCCCAGCCCTGAAAGGGAGACACAGTCCCTGGGGCTTCCAATCAGGCCAGGGCAGCTTGGAGCCGGCAGGTGACCTGTGGGGGAGAGAGGCGGGGAGGGGCAGGACAGTAGGAACAGAACATCGGGAGGAGAGGAGCCATGGTGTGGGAGACAGCAAGTCAGGGGCTGCTCAAAACCTGGGTGTTTCAGGGGGTGGCAGAAGCAACAATGTTTCCCATGGAAGGAGGATAACAGGGATTCAGCCAGGTCTCAGGGCCAGTGAAAGACTTGGTTATACCGTGAGGGGGGTGTTGTCTCACGCCTGTAATCCCAGCACTTTGGGAGACCGAGGTGGGTGGATCACCTGAGGTCAGGAGTTCAAGACCAACCCGGCCAACATGATGAAACTCCGTTCCTACTAAAAATACAAACTTAGCCAGGCATGGTGGCACATGCCTGTAATCCCAGCTACTCGGGAAGGCTGAGGCAGGAGAATCGCTTGAACCCAGGAGGTGGAGGTTGCAGTGAGCCAAATCCCGCCATTGCACTCCAGCCTGGGCAAGGAGAGCGAAACTCCGAAACTCCGTCCAAAAAAACCAAACAAACAAAAAGACTTGGTTACAATGTTTGGAGTCCAATCTGGGGCAACAGTGATTGGGATAAAATGTTAGGGGCATTCCACTGGGAATCAAATGTTGCCATTTGGGTTTGAAGTAGAATTTGGTGGCTGGAGAGGGGACGGTCGATGGGTCAAATAGCATGTCAGAACCAGTGGTGGTGGAGGAGGAGCCTCGAGTCCAGATTGAGGTCAGTGTTGATTGGGGTTGAGGGCAGTCTCATTTAGAGCAAAATATCGTAGAGGTGATCCAGGCTCCAGGACAGGCATATCCTGCTTTTTCACACTGCCTTATCAAACTTCACAGATACTGTGTTTTCTAAGAATTGAAGGTTTCTGACTACCCTGTATTGAGCAAGCCCTGTAGCCTCCATTTTTCCAATAGCCTGTGCACCATTCATGTCTCTGTCACATTTTGATAATTCACACAATATTTCAAACTTTTTCATTATTATT